AGAGAGAGAGAGAGAGATCGTGCCTATATGGTTTGAAAGGTTTGAATCAGGGAGTGCATGCATGAGCTTCAACAACGTTCATTATCAAAAACAACATTACTGTAGGGAAAGTCAAGATAGGATGGGAACGTCAGGGACTGTGCAAAAATTAGTATGAGGAGACAGAAAAGGTGAGAGGGTTATGTACTTTTAATTTGGCTCATGGCAGAGTATATTCTTTGGGAGAGCAGAGGAGTGTTTTTTCATTTTTCCACATTCCCCCCAGAATAATATTTTTTAGATTTATTCTGAGGCAAAACAACATATTGTGTATAATAACTCACTGTATTAACCAGCTCTTTATTCAAAAACGTGCTGATGAGTATGGGTAAGTATGGGGCTTTTGATTGTTGTTTCATTGTTTGTTGTTTGTTTAGAAGTGTTGGTTGTGTCCCTTCTGGGCTACTGTAAGAACATGGAGGACTTCATGAAGGTAGATATAAAAGGCTCATTTTAAGGTAACAAAAACACAGTTCCTATATTCAGGTGATTACACATGAGTGAAAACGTTGCTATAAATAAGATATTCCACTTCTTCCCTTCCTGCTAAACGTTACACACTGGACCTTTAACCTCATGCTCATGCGTTACCCTGCATGCTTGAATAAACCTGCTATGGGGTCCCTGTAACACAGCACAACATGTCCCTGCATGTTTCCTCTGTTTATTAAATACACATTAATGTAGGAATATTCAACATATAACCACAAAACTTAAATATTAAAGGTTCTGAGACTAGAATTTGACAAAGAGACTCTCTTAAAGACATGCCTTGTAATAAGGTGATAAAGGAGCAGCTAAGGTCCTTATCATATCAGCCCATATTGCACTGCATACTCCTATTCCTAAAACTTATTTTATATTAAAGAATCGGTTAGTCCTCATTCTGTGCAACTTTGTCCAAATGTTCTAATCTTATCTGAAAGTTTTCTTTAGCCAAGTGAATTAGATATCTTCCAAAGTTATGTAAGTCTTTTTAATACACCATTCCCTCTTTGTGTTTCTGTCCCTCCATCGCAGCTCAGAAAGGAAAGTCCACCACCATTTACACTGGAAACTCAAGGATCTCTTAAGGTCCAGTAACAAGGGGAAGGATTGCAGAGAGCAAACCTGTTACAAAATCCATATGGTCACCTGACTACTAATGCAGACTTGAACCTGTCCTTTAAAGCCCAGTTGACATACAGTAAACCTACAGCAGCCCCCGTGGAGTTTTTGGCCCCTGGGCTGTTACCTTCTTGGCCCAGCTGATAAAACAGCCACATGATTGCATGTAAGGATGAAGACTTTTGCAGTTTTAGCTACATAAGTTTGAATGCCCTCCAGATGTGCAAAGGGACACCTTGACTGAATAATTAAAACCAAAGGTCTAAATATAGAACACCCAGAATATTTTATAAAGGCTGCTCAAAAGAACTTTATTTCAAACTACTCGGGAATGCTTCAGGAGAGACTCGCTTGTCCTCTGCTAGAATTTATTGGAATTACAATTGGTGGTATGCAGACGATTAAAACAGTTGGATTTGAAAATGAAATGTCTGGTGTCAAAATTTCTTTCTACAGAAGCCTCCATTTAATTGAGCCTCTATTTAATGGAGGCTTCAGAACACTGTATGCCTTTTGGTGTCTAGTTTGCATAGTCATTATAGGAAGAAGTCTTATCTGTAATTTAGTTGCAATTAAACCAAACAAACCGTGATTAAATATGGTACTTGTTATGTTTTATAATTAATCGTTTCTTAATAAACCCATCTGTCTGGTGGAGTTTTGTAACTGGAGACGTCTTCCTCGTATGATGATGAGAAATGTCAATCAGGTTGTCATGGGCGATGAAGTCACTAAAGTCCTTTCTAAGGAGTGCCTTCACACAGAGACTAAGTTCATACCGTGTTTGTGTTTTTATGCTTCAAAATGAATCATAAGCAGAGGGGTATCACAGCAGGGGGGAAGCTCCATGGGTCCAATACAGCTGCATCTTATGGAGAAATTACCTTACCTCTGATTTATTAGCTCTATGGTCTTAATCGCTAGTTTTAAGTCTTCTTCCATACAGCATGATGTTGACATGGTCCAATTTGGAGTAAAATAGATGATAATGGGCGTGGCTACCTTGTGATTGTCTTTCTCAGTGAGTCCGTCCAGCCAACACACAAAACTTATATCAGACTGTCAAACTAGGCAGTGCTGAATATAAATCAAGATTCTCACCCAAAATCCTTTCAGAAATATATTTTAGTGTACTGTTTATTTGTAATATGTGAATGTGTGTGACCAGGGAAGCTGGCATTGTTTACTGAGGATGAGTTGAAACTACATTCAGACTGCAGGCAAAAGTGACCAAATCCGACTTTTTTGCCCAAATGTGACCGATATCTGATTTTTCTGTGAGAGTCTGAACAGCACAAATCCTTTTTTTAGCAGCATTAAGACCTGCAGTGTGACCGTAGCCTAAGAACCACTGCTGGCTCAGAAAAAACAACATGGTACAAACCAACTGGTGACGATAGGTTCACACTTCAAGCCCTCCTTGTTCACCAATTACGTTTGAGAAATTATTACATTTTTGTTTTCAGACGTTTGGAAAGTTGTAGGGTTTGGTATTAAAACAGGTGGTAGATGTGTGTGTGTGCAAATTGTCAAAACAAAAAGGCTGTTTTTGTGTAGTTTTGGGGTAGAAGTATATTTCAACCGGCTCATTTAGAAAATTTAAATCGCAGCTCTCGCAGTATAAC